ATGCCCTTTGCTCCTAGTAGCGTCCTTGCTCCTAGTAGTATGGCCAGTAGCTTCTTGTTCCTAGTAGCGATGCCCTTTGCTACTAGCTTCTAGCTTGCCTTTGTGAATGAGAAGATGGACGCGACGGTCTCCCAATGCGCCCATCCGGTGGCGCACCAGGTGGGTGCAAACGTCCCGATGGCGAAGACCGCGGCGGCCAGCCGGCGGTCCACAATGTCACCTGTTTTGCATTTCCACACGCCAACACTCGCAAAATCAGGTCTTCTCAAAAGGGTTTGAAAGGAAAATGGTCTACTGGGTAATTTAGACTGCGATTACTGGGATCACCTAAGGGTCTGCACAATCACAGAGCTGCCCGTGTGCTTTCAATATGTTTGAACGTCTGTAAAAAAGGACTCGGTGAGAACTAGTAACTAGTGTGACCTGCTGACCTACTGCATACCTAGTGCTTTATATAAGCTTGGTTAACAAATACAGACTGGAGTGTCCCAGGTCGCGAGGCATGTAGTACAAATCTGGCTGCCCGGCTGAAGCGGCCAAAAGGGCCCCCAAAGATCACAGCTACCTGGTTGTCTTGGCTTGGCTTTTTTGTTTTTGTGTGCCCATCGCTCTGAGGTTGGAGGCCATCACTAGTAGGTTGGAGGCCATCTCTAGTAGATTGGAGGCCATCTCTAGTAGATTGGAAGCCATTGCCAAGCGGATGCGTTTCTGGGGTCTAAGAGCTTGGCAGAGTTAATGCCAATGGCAGCATAGGCCATGTAGGAGGACATCTGATGTTCTTAGTCAGAAAAGATCTTTTCAAAAAAGCGGAAAACTAAGACTTCCTGCAGGACCGGCTCTTTGCCTGTGCAAGAGAAAATCCACGAGATCCAATTAGCACATGACTGTTTGGGGCTCTCCTTTCCCCTATGGACAGCACATGTTTTCCAACGATGGGATGCTGAAACAAGTTGGAAAGGGATGGAAAGGATAGAAGCTCCTGACCATATCCCAAATTCAAGCACTGATGCTTCGGGTCGAGATCTTTGGGTTGCCGCGGCTCCACAACTCTGGCGACTGAGGCAACGACGCCAAATCTCTGCGCGCAAGAGCGCAACCACCTGGGCTATCACACTCACATCCTGGAATCTGACACGTCCGACAAGTACAAGACCATCACTTCGTCACATCCTCTATGTTGCCCTTTCACCATTAGATCTTGATTGTTGTCTTCTTTCCTTTCTTTCTCCATTCTTCTCCCCTCTCCATTGTCATCCACATCTTCCTTCGATCCGGACTGACTCTGGTCACTCTGGTAACTCTCGTTCTCAATTCGTCGATCGTGCCCAAGCCCAGCCGAGGAACAAAGGTCTCAGGCAAAGCGACAGAGGCCATCTGCAAACCCGAGGCTAAGAGCACCTGCAAATCGTCGACGTCGCTTTCAAACAGTCTCCCGAAAACGATCCAATATGGCCCTTTGACGGTCCCCCAGGTAGCTGTGCTTTCTCACTGGTCTCATTGTCTCAATGGTCTCATTCAAATCATCGCACATCAGGATGGAGGCAATCGCTTTTAGGTTGGAGGCCATCGCGGCCATCGCTAGTAGGTTGGAGGCCATCGCTATTAGGCTATTAGGTTGGAGGCCATTGCTATTTGGTTGGAGGCCATCGCTATTTGGGTGGAGGCCATGGCCATCGCTGTTAGATTGGAGGCCATCGCTATTAGGCTATTAGGTTGGATGGAGGCCATCGCTATTAGGTTGGAAGTCATCGCTCTTAGGATGGAGGCCATCACTAATAAGGTTGGAGGCCATTGCTATTAGATTGGAGGCCATCGCTATTTGGGTGGAGGCCATGGCCATAGCTATTAGGTTGGAGGCCATCGTTATTAGATTGGAGGCCATTGCTATTTGGGTGGAGGCCATGGCCATCACTATTAGGTTGGAGGCCATCGCTAACTATTGAGTTAGAGGCCATCGCTATTGTTTTGGAGGCCATTTCGCCTTGCCCAGCTCGCAGTTTCGCCTCAGGTGGTGCATAGTGAGTCATGGGTGAGCCTACTTTCTCCATCACCCGTGAACCGTCTTGAAAGCAGAAATGGAAACAAACGAAACAAACAAATGATGTGCTAAAAGGGGGTGCACTTTTAATTGTGAGTCTTTTTATTGTGTCATGATTTGTTCAAAAACATTGGAATAGAGCAGGTTTCTTATTAGTACCTAGCTAATTACAGCAATTTTGTGTCCTTAGCAGAGACACAGGTGTCGCAGCTGGCCAAATACATTGGAATAGTGCGGGTGTCATATTAATTGCTAGCTGATTAGACTAATTGGTGCAGTTAGCAGAGAAACAGTAAAGAGAAAGAGAACTAGCATAGGAGGCATATATGATTGGTTAGAAGTTTTTGCCCCGGTTCACCTTAAAATATTGATTTCTTGGCAGGCGCGGGTGTCGGAGATGAAGTAGAAAAAACAACAAAAGCAAAAAACAACAGAAGCAGAAAAGCAACAAAAGCAGCAAAAGCAGAAAACGGGAAAACATTCTAAAAAAACAAAAACATCCAAATGTCGACACAAATGGCGACCTGTGTTCCCGGCGAGCAAAGCTTGCAGCCAGAAGAGAACGCATCGCAGTCCTGGGCTTCAGACGATTGAAGTTGCTCGTCTGGGGAAAGTTCAACACATTCGTAAGCCTTGCTGCTTTATTTGTGTGCTCTGGACTCTGGAGGCACAAAGTATGTTTTGTTCTTCTCCTCGTCTTCAGATTCAGACCTCAAACAGGACAAGAAATTGGGTGCCTTGAGCCTCTCTACTCTAGCATCAAACACAAATTCCCTTTGAGGCTTTGGCTGCGACTTCGGATTCGTCATCTCTCAGCCCCGTCCACAAAATTATGCTCTTGCAAGAGCTTTTTGGTCTCCTTGATTGGGTTGATTCGCTGTGGTTAGCAAGAAGAGCTCTTCGTGAGTGGCTTGGAATAGTCCAATCTTCATTTGGCGTGTTGGTTTGCGTTGGCTCAGCTATGCTGAGTCTATCAAAGGCCTATGTTTGGTTTTGAGTATCTTTAGTTTGATCCGGTTTTGCAGCAAGTAGCAACACAATATTTTCTGCCATGTTGGCACTAATTACATGGCTCACCCATCTATATACAGTAGATCATTTATCCAATCTTGCTCTCCGAAGAGTGTTCAGAGGGCTACAACATGCTACAGCCATCTTTCTCGAGCAGAGTTTGGATCATCTATCTTTCTCGCACTGCACAAATGCATTTGCCGCTCGGAAGCGGAACCAAAAAGTCTTCGACTTTTTGGTCGTTGTGCAGACGGAAACGTGCCGTCGTCGGAGTGCCATTGCTCCATCCAAACACTGCAAACACTTGCAAGCCGAAGCTAGTCCATAATGTCGTCCAAATCACAGGTGAATGGAAGGAAGTGGAGATGAATGTCTCGTGGACCATGGATTCCAATGGATCTACAGAATTGTAGCTTGCCATGACATGCAGGACACCGAACGTGTCCGTCCTGCTACGGGACCAAGGGATGGCCCTATCCTAAAGCGTTCACCAATACTGCATTTGTTCATGCTCAGCCTATCTTCCTCCAACGCAGGCCTTCTGCCACCTCCTGAATGAAACAAACGCAGCTAGTGTGTGCACGATGTCTACGTGCTTCCTAGCCTCAGCCTGTGTGTTCCGCCTCAAGAATTCCAGCTTGCCCTTCTTTGCTCAGCCGGACTCTGGAATGTCTGCATGAAATGATCCAGCCGTGCATTCTGACAGTCCTGGAGGGCGGTGGAGCTCCGCGCAGACTTCCACGAGCACTGACCTAACAGCTTCTGAGAATTCAAACCATGGGCCTCCTATCCCAGTGTTCATCCTGAATCTCATGGTGAAAACTGAGATCATCACAACAGTATGCTCTGCAATCCTCTTGCTTGACCAAGCACGTCCTGTAAAGCTTTATGTCAGCGAGACATGAAAATGTCAGCGTAAGGTCAAGGGCAGAGGAGAGTATCACATCACAACACTCGAGTCCCATTGGTTTAAAAGGCCACATGTGTGTGTGTGTGTGTGTGGTTGTTACAAACATGACATGGTCGTTTGCCACAGTCGGCATGGCATATTATCTCCATCCCAGCACCAGGTCCTCAACTTGTCGAAGTTGGGGTAGTTGTTGCGGAAAAACCTCACGTGGTGGGAAACAGGTGCTTTTCTTCCACTGCAGCAAGCATCTGGATCATCTGGAAACCTGAGATCTCGAATGCTATAGTCCATTCCACAATAGACCAAGCAACATGTACTCAGCATCATCATTCCAGACATAATCATCACAAACCAAGACCTGATCAAGTTGAGCAAAGGAATGCCAAAAACAGCTCCACCAATAAATGAACAATAAATATATAACTGCCTGGCCATTGAAATTGGCTGTTGAGTTGTTGAGATTTTTCAGGGGGGAAAGGTCGGGATCCTGTCGAAGGAATCATGCGAGCCTGGAAGTCACAGCCAATGCAGTGGAAATGCTCCAATATCCTAAGGACGCTACTAGGAGCAAAGGGCATCGCTACTGGGAGCAAGGCTACTAGGAACATCTAGGAACAAGAAGCTACCAGTAACAAAGGGCATCGCCACTAGGAGCATGGTTGAGTTGACTCAGCTGACTGTGAGTTGCGTCGAGTGAACGTCAGCCGTACGTTTCTCTGCATCAAATAAGGCTCAGTGGGTTCCTCAAAGCTCACACCTTCGAGATCGAATCTTTCGGAATCAAATCAAGCGACCGGGGGCCACTTGCCCCAGCTGATGTGACTGCCATGATCTCGCCCACAAGGTCATCCTGTGCAAATCAATAAGGCACCTCTTTTCTTGGTGTCTCGCTTTAAAGAGGAGAAGAAAACGCAGGCGGCAGGTAAGGATAAGGATACAGAACACAATCATGTGCACGATTGCGATGAAAGGCAAAGAAAACACAAACATGTCAATGTACTCAAGAAAAGTAGGAAGAAGTAGACTCTTCCTTTCCCTGGCTTGTCAAAACCGTAGTGCATCAGGTGTATGGAAGAACTTGTCTGAAGACTCTGCCAAGTCTCAAGATCACCAGGTTCGTGATCGAATGACGGAGGTATTGGTGCCTAGATTCAAGGTTCAACGGCTTGACTCCAAAGCTTGGAATATATAAACAAAAGTGAACGAAATACAAATATGTCGAACACCTTCTTGCAGGTGTTATTTGAGTATAGAAAAAGGTCAAAACGTCTTTTGTTTGAACTTGCAAAGGGTTGGTAAGTCCTACAGCCATGCTGTTCATCTGTGGTCTCCAGATACAGGTCAGGCCTCTGGAGGAAGCGGAGCAGTTTCAGCAACTTGTGGTTCTTCATCCCAGCTCTCTTCCACCTAACCACAGGGTGGCCGTGGCCAAGAACATCCAGCAGTCTCACGGATGACAAACAGCCCCTCGTCTTGCGCATCAAACGTCACTCCGCCTGAGTGCTGTCAGGCGGTGCTGGTGCCTCAGATCACAACGATTTTTTTTTGTGGAATTTTTCTTGACCAAGGTTGGAGGCCATCGCTTCTACATATCTTTGCAGTCAGGCAAGGCTACGGAACTAGTTCAAGGTTTGTGCCCTCAGAATAGGTTAGGCCGCCGGGAGGTGGACGAGAGGTAGCTGCCATACATCAAAGCTGCCCTCCCTATAAGAACAAGATCCTTCACGAGCAGCGATGCTGTGCCGTTAGTCACCAACCCGCTTCTAACATGTTTTCTCGGAGGATATCTGAATTGTTGTGTAGTTTTTCTCAACTACTTGCTTGAGCTGCATTCATTCAAAAATAGGACGTCCCGTATTGCTTTGCAACGTTTGGTAGAATAAGCACTGCGCGTATCGCTTTGCAGGCTTTGCATGTTTTGCATGGTGGGGTCTTGCCACCAGAATGAACGTCACGGATAATAACAAACAAAACACAAATGACAACACAAGCGCACAAGCAACAAAAAGCAGGAACCCCTATTTATTCGTGATCATCCATCATCTGAGAGCATCCCCAGCAAACACTGGAAGTGTGCCGAGCTCTGTGAAGTCAGGAAGGACAACACCACGGAGGGCTGCTCCAGCAAGCGCAACATTGCTGGCTTCTGCCGCTCGTTTGCTGATCTGATCTCTTTCACTAGAAGACACAAGCCTGCCTGCACCTTTGCAGGCTTGCCCATGGGGCACTGTATAAGCAGCTTCCCTTTTGCACTCTCTCGTGTATCGTTGGGGTATTGACTTCCGCTGCGCTCATGCTACACCAAAGAGAAAACAACCCCGTTCCAAAACAAGACGGGCGGACAAAGGCGGGGCCTAGCCTTTCCTCATAGGCTGGGGCCAGCCCATGAGCCAAGAGCCAGGAGACAGCCCTCCAAACACAAGCAATCAGATTCCTCATTGCCTGTGACACTTGCAAGAACAAACCAGTTCATGAAGTGACGCCCTTTAGACCCTTGAGCACAAATGCACAGAAGAGTTGCTGTAGCAGGAGGGCATACCAAAAAAAACTATATAAAGGAACTAATGCATGTAACAATAGAGGTATAGTATTTTTGGACGTCCCGTATCGCTTTCCAAGCAAAACCCAAAATCACACTCTGGGATGAAACGCCCAGTAAACGACGAAAATTTTGAAAACGAGAATGACTAAGGATGAGAGAGATGAGGATGAGGATAAGGATAAGAGAGCTAGTTAGAAATTGGATGAGAATGCCGATGCATGACCGCGAAGTAGGAAAGATACGAATCAGGATGATCATGAAGATGAGGCTATTAGGTTGGAGGCCCTTGCTAGTAGGGTGGAGGCCATCGCTACTACGTTGGAGGCCATTTCTACTAGGTTGGAGGCCATCTCCATGGATGATGCGACGATGTGGATGAAGACGAGAGGGACGGAAGAAGAGGAGGCTGGAGAACAGGACGATGAAGACGACAATGAGCGCAAGGCTGCAAAGGGGAGTGAGAAGTAGCAACTTTTACGTGAAAGGAATGATGAGGATGAGAAGGACTCAAAGAAAAAATTGGTTGCCATGTGGAAGAAGCCATATGAAAGTAAAATGAAAATGGATACACTGAAAGGAGGACCCAAATTCGAACAAGGACTTAGTAAGATTCCAACTTCCTGTGGGTTCCTTAAGCCTTACATCTCAATCACTGTACACTGTAGACAATGCTAAAGCAAGGAGAGCTCCACCAGCTGAGGCTGCCTTTTGTGATCTTGCACAAAGGGCAAGCAAAGGGCAAGCCGTTCGATCTTGAAAAGACCAAGGAACTGGAGCTGCTTCCACCTGGACAGGTGGAGCAGCAAGAGCAAGCGCCGGAGTAGGAGAAGGAGCAGCAAGAGCAGTGCGAGCTTCGTCGTAAGCGCAAACGGGTGGGGCGATGCCTCCCATGCCTGCCCAGACTCAAGAGGTCAGAAGTGCCACAGGTTACGGTGATGTGCTCTTCAAAAGGATGAAAAGAACGAGATGAGAATTGGTTACTACTAGCGAACATTGTTACTACTAGTAATAGTAAGGCACCTGTTACTACTAGCGTGGCACCTGTTACTACTAGCGTGGCACTTGTTACCGTTCATCTTTTCTTTCTCTTGTTCTTCAACCCAGAAAAATGGAAGTAGAACACTCGCCCACATCTTCAGTGCCTGCCGGAGGTGCAATGCCTGCAGGCGGCGCGATTCCGCAAAGGCCGGAGACTGGCGCTATTGGCGCTGTTGGCGCCATGACCGGCACTTCGTCTGGAGCCGAGGCAAAGGAGACTGGCTCGACATGGTCTACAGTCGCTTCGTCAGGACAAGGAGGTGGTGGTGCCACTGCTGCCTCAATCTCCTCAGAGCTCCAACCACAGCGTGTCCAATATCATCCGACGGCCTCCAACCTAATTGCGATGGCCTCCAACCTAACAGAAGTCCATGCACAATGAAAAAATACGAGTGTCAAAAGTGTGCTCCCCTGTCCTGAAGACTTCTCTTGGAGGTCATGGCACCAGTTACCCGGGCGCGCGCCTCTTTCAAAAGCTCTCCCTGGCCAGAATGCTAAACATTCACGTGTGACACCTCGATATTTTTTCAATTGTGAACTTTCAGGTTGGAGGCCATCGCTAGTAGGTTGGAGGCCATGTTTCTTTTTCCAATTCCTACAACCACGCTACTACGTGCTACTAACTACCCACTACTACCCCACGCTTTTTCCGAGGCTCACCTTGCGTCATGGGCTCATTGCAGCATAACTCCCTTGCAGTCCTTCCTAAATAGATATCGAGTCATTACGGCGCCATGTATTGCTTTTTAATAGAAACGTCCTTTTCCAGACTGTTTTCAGCGATAAAGATGATGAACACAAAATCATCAAAACGCCCTTTCTCGGCCTGCAGTTCCGGTGCCACCGCTGCTCCAGTGTCCTCCGGGGCAGGGCCTGCCAGCTCTTCCAGTGCATCCAGCGCAGCGAAAGGATCCACCGGAGGTGGCGGTGGAGCAGCTACCGCCTGACACCACGGATCTCCGTCGAGACACCCAAGAATCGTTGAACGCGTTCAGACTAACGAAACTTGGTGTGACTGTGATGAGTTGTCACTACTAACTTACTATATGCCTTTATCATTCGCAAGACCAAAGTATGTTCGTTGTAACAAAAGACAAAAGAGTCTTCGGAGTGTGACATGGTCCGTGGTATGGTCCACGGTCCATGGTCGTTCCGGTATCACTGAGTCAAACCGCTTGTCAGCTTCGCAGCTTCACAGAAACCTCGCCTGCTGCACTGGAGCAGGTTGAGTCCACCTGTTGAAGCCCAAATTCACCAAAAGGACAAAAGGATCTAAAATCCGGTACAAGCTATAGGTAACTAGGCACAGCGAGAACCTCCTTGGGCTCAATTAGATCCTGGCCTCTTGGTGACAGGCGGAGGCTCCCAAGGAGCCCTGCCATCTTCGCCTCCTGTGCTGAGCACAGCTTATCAGACAGGAACAAAAAAAAGACTTGACCCACTTGACGATGCCTGTGAACAATGTTCGCTACTAGGGACTCCTGGCATCGCTACTAGGAGCAAGGACGCTACTAGGGGCTCCTGGCCGTACTACTGGGAGCAAGTAGCTACTAGGAACAAGAAGCTACTACTGGCATCGCTACTAGGAGCAAAGGGCATCGCTACTAGGAGCAAGTAGCTACACTAGGGGCTCCTGGCATCGCTACTAGGAGCAAAGGGCAACGCTACTAGGAGCTTTGTCGAGTGTTTGCAAAGTTGAGCTTCCGGCGGTGGTCACCATTGTGTTCTGACGTGGAGGTCGAAAGCGAAGACCTTGGAGTCTTCTTTCTCCCACTGCGCTGTCCCTGAAATGAAGCATAAAGAGCCCGATGCCCAAGTAGTTATATAATGTACAGTAGTTCTATGCCTCCTCAACTAGAGCAAAACAAGACTTCTCTTCTACTCCTACTCCTACATACTCCTACTCCTTCTTCTTCCTCCTCTTCTTCGTCCTCCTCTTCTTCGTTCTCCTCTTCTTCTCCTTCTTCATTCTTCTGTTCAAACTACAGCATTACATGTTTGGATACTTTAGATGTTATACAAATGGAGAGAAACTCAAAGCCCCCAATTTACTAGATTTACCAAATTGCTGTCAGTCTAACTTTGGAGTCAAGGACCAGACCTTAAGCTATTACCTATTACACGCTATTCTACATCCATGCACAACCTGTCTGCCGCCAATTATCCTACGAGTATTGTTGCAAAGTGATGGTGCAGAAAAATCTTCGAAGTGTGGTTGATCGAAAGTCTGAGCTACAAGAAACTCATGTTCACAATCTGCACAACTTACCCAGCCAGGAGTTCTGAGACCCCTTAACCCTGTACAGTCCTCATGGTCCTGCTCCGTGCTTGAGCTAGATCCAACCTATATAATTGCATCTATGGGGCCCCGGTGGCCGCGCGAGCTCGTGGCTATGCTTGGTGGAGCTGGGCGCCTCTCGAAATCGAAATAGCACAATTCCATGTGGAGTCTTTCTGTGTTTAGATGTTTTGGATGTGGGCAGGATCTAAGCTGCTTGAACTTTCTGCACATGGTGCTCGATGCCTTGCTATGGGAGTTAGGTGTCATTACCTTCGCAGGCTGGTCGCGGCACTGAAGCTGTTGAAGCCTGCACCGGCACTTTGCCATTGGCGATGTCCCGCGCTGCATTCAGTGCGGAGACCCAGAGCTCCGCATCCTTCAGCTTGTTCACTAATTGCTCATTGCCTAAAAACAAGCTGTTCCCCGCCTGGTAGGAATGGGTGAAGAGCTCATAGGTCCTTTCCGCAGTGAGAATGGAGAAGCCGAAGGGGTGTTCACCTCATCAACAAGCGACTGTCATATTAGTGCCTGACAGTATCGATTCACTGAAATGCTTGGTTTTTAGACACATGATTGTTTTGTGCTTGGTGCAGCATGAGCCGTGAAAAGGAAGGCTTTTTCGAGCAATTGAGAACATGAGAGTTCAATACTGTATTGGAGCAGCGTGCACCGTGCAGAAGGTTACCTGGTATGTTGCCAAGGAAGTCAGCTGGCGACTAGTGTGCATTGATCCTGAAACCTAGAGTGAGTAGCTGCATCTGGAGGATTTGGTTGGCAAGCATTATGAGCAGTGGTGAGCTCCGGCTGGCACTGAGTCCAGCACTCTTCACGCCTGTATCTGGCAGTTGGTCTGCTGCCACAATGTCCTTCCAAAGCTACATACAAACCCTACAAGTATCAAGGTCTGCTACAGCAACCTATTTGATCCTGTCCTTGAAGCGAATTGGATGCGAAACTGTCTTCTGGCTTTCGGATTGAGCATAGAAGAAAAGCTGTGAGTTGAAATCGATTGTGAAATATCTCTTCGTCGTGCTGGAGAGCCATCGGGCTTTTGCACCTTCCCCTGCGGGAGCTTTCGTTTGCATCTCCAACAAAGGGCATCGCTACTAGGAGCAAGGACGCTACTAGTAGCTCCTGGTCTTACTACTAGTAACAAGAAGCTACTACTAACAAAGGGCATTGCTACTAGGAGCAAAACACATGATGGCTTGCACATGACAGTTTAAGCGCCAGGAGTTCAAGCAGTTTTGAGCGGCTTGAGTGGAGTCTACATCACCTGGAGTCTACAAATCAGAAACCCCTTGCGCTGCTTCACCCAGGCCTTTGACTTTCGTCAACCATGAGCTGTAGGCACCTGTGAAATTGGACCTGGCATCCATGGCGCCCACATCATCCTCCATGGAGCACAGAGGAAACCAAAGCTGTGACTTTTTTTACTGACAGGGCCAGCTTCTAAGGATCTCAGAAGGGGGACATCGTCGGGTACCATGTAAAGCTGAGTTATAGAAAGTGTGTGCTTCACAGCAAGTTTGTCTGGTAGCTTTTGCTTTGGAGAGATCCGTAGTGCGTGGTTTACCCAGACATATTCAATATTCTACACATCTGAGCTGTGTGTGAAGCCACGATCCATGATTTTAGAACTTCCTGATCTGGCTTTGAAAGCAAGCACGTCGTCATACATACGCAAGCGTGGCTCTTGAGACTCTCTAAGTCCTTTTGTTGGAATCCACCAGCTGCATTGCCTCCCAAAACGGCCCTTTTTTTGACAGCGAAAAGTCCATCTGGCAGGGCAAATCCTGCCAGCTAAGAGAGTTCGCCCCAGCAAACGAGCTCGCCTTTCATGCGATTCTGGGGAATCGAACAAATACCACACAAGTCACACAAGCCACTTCTGGGCTCGGTTGGACCATATTGGTTGACTTCAATTTCTTTCAAAGTACAACCATGCAGCTGAAGAATCTTGAATGCCACCAACTGCCTTCCCCTGACAGCACATCTCAGCTTCCAAGGCTCAAATGGGCGCTATGCGCTTGAGCGGATGCGCTAGCTGAGGAAGGCACAATTTCAAGTCAGGCTCAGTTCTCCAAGTGTCAATGTTGCCTTCGGTCCATGAGGGAAAAAGTGTCGGCTTTGGCAACACTATACTGCTATCCAGTATCTGAAATCTCTTTCCCATGTTTGCCATCGGCCATGGGAAAGCGTTTTCCAGGCTGAAAAAAAAGAATGCAGAGCTTACACGAGTCATTCGGCAGAGAAAGATTCACAAAACTGTTGCAGCTTGAGTCAGCAACACAAGGCTGGGGACGTTGTGCCCACACAAATCGAATTGGAGCCATCCTAGAGACTTCTGATATCCAAAAATCTGCTCCGGCATGGCAAACGTTCATGCATTGGAAACTCTAAGGTTTGGGTTTCCCATTTTCCCGGTACAGCACCTTTGGGAATTTGTCGGGAGCTTCAAAGCAGCCCTTCTTCAAATGCTGAGTCATCGGTTTGCCCGAGAGGGCATCGAACCAACGACCTCTCAAGTGTCCCGCTGGGCCAGGACAGTAAGTCTGCCCTTCCATGGCAGTCGAATTTTCGCCATTGTTCAAGAACACCCAAACCGTGTCAGCTTCGGCCGTCTCTCGCGTGAAGACCAGCGTCCTAACACAAGTTCCCACGGACAATTTCACGGTGACCAGTGGATCATGGCTATTCAAGCTGTGTCTAGCAGGCCTTTACAATTGTGCAGTACAGATACAGATGCCAACAACTGCTGTTTGATTATGTTTGGTGTTCTGCTCGTTCTGCTCTGCCCGAGCATCCTTTTTGAGGTTCCTTTGATCTCCGCAGCACCAACACCAATGCCCAAAGATTTGCGCAGCTTATTCCTCAGTTGGAAAATCTAGAGCAATTCTGAAGGGTTCAACGCAATAGATCCCTTGATGCGCGCTCTGTCAACCCTCCGTGCAGTCCAAGTTTCAGCTTCTGTACGAAGAGATATTGCCAGGTGTCTGTCCTATAGCCTCAGGGAGTGCGTCTTTCAAACTGCACCTCCTGTTCTTGAGCCTGTTGAAAACAAATTACACACCGCATTGCGGCTTTCCCCAGGTTTGAATAGAAGATTCATGCTCGTGCCCCTACAAAATTAAGCGATTGTAGTGCTTGGATTATGGAAAATGCAAACAGCTCTGAAGGAGTGTAGATGAAATTGCTGCGTGAAAAAAAAAAATAAACACCCAAACGCTTGCCCACCTGTATGCCACAATGACTCTCGCAATGCATCTTGGCCCTTTGTATTTTCAGGGCCTTGATGCCCATCCAGGCCCTGCTCCGTGCCGTAGTATAGAATTGGAATGCCACGGGACAGAAAGACCCATACCAAGGCTTGCCGGATCCTGCAACAAAACTCCCCAGAAAGGTCAAGGAGTCCTGGGTATGGGTCAAAAGATATGGCTGAGGATGGGTTCCACCGGCTGCAGTCATTTGTCCTTTACCATCTAGGTTTTGAGAACGGTTGTTCTTGAATTAATGCGGACCTGTTAAACGACCTGTCGAGCTTGGTCCGGATGGTGCAGCAAGTTTTGGCCCAGTGCCATAGTCACGACACATGAAAAGCTGCATTGCAGTGTATGAAAACTATGATGCTCTAAAGCTCCTGAGAGTATCATAGCGGCAGTAGTAAGTCAGGCGACTGTATTCATCGTGGTTGTCGGCAAAGTTGCCCATCCTCAAATCACCACATTTCACAACCTTCGATTGAGCCTCTTGGGCCGAGTCTCATGTCGAAGTTCGATGTTTGAGAAGAGAGCTGCAAGGAGAGAACACTTCCAAGGCCCACCATGTTTGCCTCGTCTTCCCATGTACCTTTAACGAGAAAAACAAATCAGTTGGAATCTACAAGAGAGCAGTTCCGGCTCTTGTTTCGGCGCGTTCCAAATTCTACATTCATCCTACCAAGACCACTCCAACCAGCTGCCTAAACGTAGAAGTACACGGCACTCAGGTGCTGTCTTGTGAAGTATAGGACAGGAAGACACAAATTAATTACTCTAAAAGAAAATGGAATGGGATAGCATGAAAAAAGACATGCACCGAATCATGACAGGATCTGCACTGTGAGCGCCTTGTAAAGAGTAATCTCCAAAGTCCCCACCAATGCGATAGCCACAAAAAGCCCGCGGAAGCTGGTAGAAGGGCGGAAAGTTCAACAAACCCAGAAGGCCACTCTGACCGCCACCTCAAAAACTGCCAAAGACTCCATTCTCCTCATGGACTCATGACTCTTCGTGACAAGTAAAAGGTTTTGTGATGATCAAACACGCGGACATTGACATGGACGCCTCAATCACGCTTTCCCACACAATGCTTAATTATGTACCGTATCTGTTTGTTTCTGTTCCTCAACGCTTATTTATTTGTCTTGCCTTGAATGCCTGATGTTTCTTGACTTGTTGTAATTGTCTGTTTCTGCTGTCGGCTTCATTACCAGCCCACGTTATGGGCTATTTGTGTTTGTGATGCCTTTTTCTGGCATCTCGGTATATACTGTATAAATATATATATATATAATCTTCAGTTTCACAACATGTTCATAGATTTCACAAGATGGTCATCGATGTATGGTCATCGATGTATGGATGTTGTCATCGACTGATTAAAATGGGGCTGAGGGTGGGGGTGAGTTGGCTGGAATGACGGCGTGGATGTCATGTGGAGAACATTGCTATTGATTTCTCAAGATAGTCTTCGGTCACAACAGTGTCATCTGTGTCATAAAATAATTAGCATTTGAACCGCAGACTTGACAGGGGGGTATATCTGACTTCTTATTATCTTCATGGAATGCAAGGCGACTCAAATGTTAAAGTAATGGTTTTTGCACTGCAGCTCTCGAAAATGTTTTACCTTTTTCCCGATGGAACTAAATGTGTGTTGTTTCCTTTTGATTTTGTTTTGGTTCCTTTTGGTTTCTTTTTGATTCCTGGTTTTCCTTTTCATTCCTATTCATTTCCTGTTGTTTCCTTTGATTTCCGTTTGTCTCCTATTGCTTTCCTTTTGGGTCCTTTTCATTTCCTTTTGGTTCCTTGTGTTTTCCCTTTCCTTCCTTTTCCTTTCCTCTGAGTTCGTTTTGATTTCCTTTCGCTTCCTGTTGCTTTCCTCTTCATCCCTTCCCTTCCTTTTGATATCCTTCTGATTCCTTTTCATTCCTGTTGCACTCCTTTTCCTTTCCTTTTGCTTCCTACTGATTTCCTTTTGTTCCCTTTTCATATCCTTTTGCTTCCTTTTCACTTCCTTTTGTTCCTTTTGATTCTTTTTCATTTCCTTTTTCACCCCTCTTAGTCTCTTTTTGATCCCTCTTGATGTGCTTTGGATTCCTTTTCCTTCCTTTTGATTTTCCTTTTGACTCCTGCAAATACAGTGTATTTGCGGGTGTCTTTGTCTTACTTGCTCCAAATAGGGGGTCGGCGGCACCTGGCCGTTAGCACAGTCTATCCGGCGACGCCGCTCCGTTACCCCTATCAAGCCTAGCTTGCTATATGGAGACGCGCTCCATGCTGCCGACCTCTTTTCTAGCATCACCAGGGCTTCGTCGGGGGGCGTCGCGGGCGGGGGTTTAATGGTCGAAAAAGGTCGCTGCGGAGCTTATAGCTTCAAAACCTCTAGAACATAACGCATTGAAAAAAGAGACAAACTTTTGAGGAGAAATTCTGGTCGAGCATCATCTTTTGGTACATGACCAGGCTTTACAGTGTTTTTGCAAACTGTATGTAGTTTATGAACAATGCTGCTCGTACTCTGGTGACGCCAATGGTGCTCGACGCAAGTGCTACCTCAAAACTTCCTATCCCCTTTGCATACTTGCTTCTCTAGATATAGAGCTTTACAGTAGCCGTTCTTTATCATTTTCCTCTGCTGCTGACGCTTTCTTGACGAAAATAAATACGTCCTGGTGATGTTCAAACTGTCGGCTTGCGCTCGTGTGCGTGCGTGTGCGCGAGTGCGTGTGCATGCGGGTGCGGGTGCGGGTGTGCATGTGCATGCGTGTGTCTGAAGCTGAGGTTGCCTGGCTTTTCCACTTGAGGCCAGAGGGGGTGAACGAAAGCTAGCCGGGTTTCCGGTGGTCTGCTGCTGGTGCTGCTGCTGCCGCTGCTGCGCTGGGCGCTGCTGCGCTGGGTGCTCTGCAGGCGCCGGGTCGTCTGCTGCTGCTGCTGCTGGCGCTGGGTGGTCTGCTGCGGCTGCTGCTGCCGCGGCGTTGGGTATGCTGCTGCTGCTGCTGCTGCTGCTGCCGCCGCTGGGTGGTCTGCTGCTGCTG